CACACACACACACACACACACACACACACACACACACACACACACTTTATGGTTAACTCTCACTGCTTTGCATTATTTTGTGTAGCAGCTTATATTAAGTGGTGAGTACTTACTGTAATTGCATTTTTCAGATTTTTAACAGCCAAAGAAAATGAAATCTTACTACAGAATGTTGAATAACACAAACACTTCCTGCAAATGAAAATGCTTGTCAGCACATCCTCAAAGCATGACTTTTTTCTGTTTAAAATAGACTTTAAAAAAAATCCTTTCCCCCTTTCACCCTCTTTCTTCTCTTTGCTATCAGGTCACAGACTTTGGGTTTGCAAAAAGAGTAAAAGGAAGGACTTGGACGTTATGTGGAACTCCAGAATACCTGGCACCTGAAATAATTCTCAGCAAGGTATTATACAACAATTACTGTATTCTTATTCCAGCAGTACATTAAATCCAATTTAAAATGATCGTCTAATCATTGAGCCCAGAGGGAGTTCTAGAAACTAGGCATCTGAAGAAATAAGATCCTGGATTACCAATCCTTAGTTAAGTGAACAGTGTAGTACCTCTATGGGAGAGATTATTAAACACACACTAAAAATTATGCCAGAACAGACTCTCTTGATGCAGACTCGGAAAATTCTAATCTGATATTTTCAGTTAATTTGGAAGTGGGAAGCCAAGCAAGCAAAATAATATTAGGCTTTTTTTTATTAATAAACTCATGAAAGCAGTGGCCAGTTTTACCCTAGCTGGTATGCTTCATTTTTAATGGACTGAACAAAGTTCCAGAAAGTAACCAAACATGCATACTGATCTACTAGTAAGAATTATAGAATAAATATGTACAGCAGCATTCATCTCCGAGCATTAAGCATAAAATATTATGTGTATATATATACAGGTTTCCCTTGCTTTATGCCAGGGGTGGGCAAAATGTGGCCCACCAAACCATTCTACATTTAGAAAACTAATATTTAGCTGCCCCTGGCTGCCTGTCATGTGGCCCTCAATGGCTTGCCAAAACTCAGTAAGCGGTCCTCCGCCTGAGATAATTGCCTGCCCCTGCTTTATGCTGTACTTGCTTTCCTGAAAAATGGTGCGTAATTCAAATTTGCATAAACAGAACCCACTTTACAATTTAACAGATAGGGATACATTCCAAGACCTTGACCGTACTGACCCAGAGACCCATTTGTACCACTTTTACAAGACAGTTTTGGTATTCACCAACAGCAGACAGTACACACAAACACAGGGCGCTATCAAAATGGGGATGGCAACTACAGAAACACGTGTCACAGACAACGAGCGAGCAGCACAGATCCACACAGCAGACTATATTTTGGTGTGTGTCACTCCCGCAATGCACTTCACAAAGCAGCTGACTGCAGGCTTCTACCACACCGATTCCATAAAACTGAAATTACCTCACATATAATCATTTTTTGGTATAAAAAGGGTAATCATATAAGAGCAAATTCACACATATGGAACCTGCATAAAGCAAGGGAAACCTGTGTGTGTATGTGATATAGATATAGATAATGCATTAATATATAGTCAACCTTGATTCTACTCTTTAAGCATAACAGGTTTATCAGTTTGCGTTGAAACTAGTTAGAGCATTGGAAGTACCTGAATAGAGAGAGAACTTCTTATTAGTATTAGTATTGGTCCTGTCTGTGACTGTAAACTGCGTCTGACTGAAGGGCCTGGTAGCAACGTGGTGAGGCTACTTGTGGTAGGGTAACTCCTATAAAATACCACAATGTTGCAACCTCCAGAGTAAGGCAAGTATAGGGCACCTGAAAACCCTTGCCCCCACTGCCTTGTTAGGTACTTCTTATTTGGAGACAGGCTAAGGGACATCACCCTGACAAAAATGCACCCTCATTCTCGATTTGAAGACAAGGGGCTTCCCCCCATATTAAATGGGGTGAGGAGGGCAGAACTCATCCTAGAAATGAGTAAATGTTGTAACTAAATATTTTTAAGTTGGTTTCTATTAAAAGTTTTTTTTGAGGTTTCATTTTAGATAAACTAATGAGCTTAAGAAACCTACATGAAAGGTGAAGCAAACAATTTCTTTTTATGCTACTAAAGGGATAGGCACCAAGTACTTGGGGCCCCGCAGGCCCTGGCCTCCCTCGGGAAGAGAACTGTTCAGGCCCAAACCAGTGGAAAATTATTCAATATTTCTTAAGAACAATAGCTGAAGCCAGGGATCTGGTTTTCCGTTCACTGTGGAAAAACACGTCTCTTCTCCTTTAACCGAGAAAAACACAGGAAGCCCCAGGTTTCCCCTTACAGGCTGGCAGGGTTCCTGTCTGAAATGGGCTGTTTGGGGCTGGGGGGGAGTGGGGAGGGTGATTGGAGGGAGGGGGTGCCATTTGCGCATGCACATGCATGTGGCAGCCAAGTAGCAATGGAAAACAGCTCCTGCAGCTCTGTCCAGGTAAGGGTGGGATTGAGGGGGAGAGGTGGCGTGGCAGATGGGCCACATGTTACGTAGCAGAGAGGGACGGGGGGCACAGGTAACATGGTGGGGAGGGAGGCATGTGCTCCTCAGGATTTCTGAGCCCCAGCAGGGCACAGGGCTTCAGCTGGGCCGGTCCAGGCAGGAGTCACCTCTGCGGCCCAGCAGGCAGGAGCACCACACCGCCATGGCTGCTAAGGTGAGGCATGGTGGTGGCACAGAGTTGTGTCCCAGCTGCTGACAGGCAGGCAAGGGGCACCTCATCTTGGCAGCATGGCACTCCCTCCCATGTCAGGTCTCGCCCATTGGGCTTTGGAGGCAGTTCCTGCCTAGAGCTGACCTGGCCCAGCTGCAGCCCCACATCCCGCTGTGGGCTCAGAAATCTTGGGGGGCATGTGCCCCCACCACTCCACTGCTGTCGCCTGTTCCCCCTCTTGTCTCCCATGCATCACCTATGTACACCCCCACCTTCACCACACACCAACCCTGTTCCCCACACACTGGGGGCAGGAGGCACCATCTTCTTAGTCTGCCTTCCCTCCTTCATTAGCAGCTATGACTAGAGACTTAATATTTTACTCCAAGTAGAGCAGATCGTTCTTGTTCTTTGTATTTATAAATGTATGGGAATTCTTAAATCTAATTAGCAATGATACTAACAGTATTTCCTCCTTTATAGGGTTACAACAAAGCAGTGGATTGGTGGGCGTTAGGAGTTTTAATCTATGAAATGGCAGCTGGATATCCTCCATTCTTTGCAGATCAACCCATTCAGATTTATGAAAAAATTGTTTCTGGAAAGGTAAGCAAAGGCACTCTGCACTTTAAAAAATGCAATAGTAATAATAATAGTTGTTGTTGTTTATCCCATTCTTCCTGAAGAATAGCTCAGTTTTCTACATGTAGTAGATCCACAATTCACTGATTGTTAAACGCCAATCCAGGTCAATGGAGAATTAGAGATGTATAATGTGTAGACATGAATCTGTGGGTAACCTTATTGCAGAAAATAAATAGTGCACTTTTTTAATATGGAGTACTGCCTTGATTCTTCCTTGCTTTCAAGTTTATAAGCTCCATCAGTTGCATTCACAGGTCCTGCATTTTTGTCTTAATGTTTAAAAGCAAATGAAAAAACAGTCTACTAAGTATATAGTAAAAGGAAGCTCATGGCTATCTTCATACTTGAAAATACATTTAGTTTTTAAAAAACTATTGCCTAGCTTTTTCCTTTATTATTTTCCTGCAACCCTTTTTTTAGGGAATCTCAAATGATCTGGTTCTTTGTAATAGTTGTTTAAAACTCTTCAGAAACAAAACCCTGTGGCAGAATATTTTTGGTAACTTTTAACTATTTATTACACACACACATTTCCCTCACATACATATATGTGAAAACAGAAGGAACCATTAGATCAGTCATTTTGAGCAATCATTTATCACAGGCCATTAAATTTTGCTGTTGTTGATGTTACCCAGGCTGAAGTTAGATGTACAGAGTGGTAACTGGGTAATAGCAAGGTGGGGCTCTTGCTTAACTTTCGTTTTTGTCTGATTGTTTCACATAAACATTCTATATGGATAAAATAATTTATATTAAAGGTGCACCAATACATTGGTCCCATATTGGATTGGCACCGATGTAGGGGAAAACTGACAGCATCAGAAATTGGCTTTTTTTCCCTGGTGTGGCCAGTAAATGCCCTGTACATGTGCACAGCCGCAGCATGCACGGGGCCAGGAGCACAGTCCAGTGGCTTGACATACCCGCCCAATGCTGGTGTCCTTTTGTGGGGGAAGGAGTGGGGGAGAGAAGGAGTGTAGGGAGGGTGCAAATC